CTCGTTAAGGAAAAATATCCAGAGATTACGAATAATTTAAGAATTATAGCTTTTATTTAAAGAAAACTAGAGGTCGGCGCGGGACGGGATCCCGCGCGGGATTTTGCGGGGTCCCGCTCCCGCACTTTTTTCGATTTGCGGGATGCGGGATTTTGCGGGGTTTTTCCCGCGGGATCCCGTCCCGCAAAGATTTTTTTTAAAAATCCTGCAAATTTTTCCCGAAAAATTTTTTGAATTTTGCGAAATTTTGGAAAATGAAGAAGTTTTACTCCTACCCTTCTAAACACAAAAAATTTTTGCCTGCGGCGCTAGAAAAACAAGAATTTTGTCTCGCTGGCCTTCCTAAAATCTCGAAATTTTTGCCTGCGGCGCAGAAAAAGGAAGGAATATGGATACTTGGCCTTCCAAAATTTTCGCTGCCGTCATGAAATCATCTTTATTTCATCGAAACCAAATTGTCCAAATTGTTAGATCAAGATGATTGATCGATTACATTTGTTTCAGCTCAAGCTATTCTAATTTGTATACTCGAATTTCCGACGAAATGTATGAGCTTGCCCCTTATGATATTTTTGATAATTGGGGACCCGGTATAAATGCTTATCGTTTGTACCAACTTGTACTCGTAATTTGGTACGAAGTACGATACAGTTAAGAACCCGATAAGAACTCGTTAATGATTAAGAAATTGATTTTTTAATAGATATTGATAATTTCAACGATTTTTGGAAAATCCCGCAGTCCCGCGCGGGATCCCGCAAATTTAAAATGCGGGATTTTGCGGGATGCGGGATTTTGCGGGGTTTTTCCCGCGGGATCCCGTCCCGCAAAGATTTTAAAAAAAATCCCGCATGCGGGATCCCGCAAACACGATTTTGCCGACCTCTAAAGAAAACAAGAACTCCTGCTAGACTCAAATATCCCCCCTCCCTTAATTTAATTCAAAATTCTACTGCAACATAACGCCAAATTCATTTTTGTTTTTCTTCATATAAAAGCTGTAGCTCTTTCATTTTCTAGTCATTCTTAACAATCGAGCTCTTTTTTTTAAAAACCATTTTAAAGAGTGTTTTGGGTCTTACATTAATTATTTTTTTATTTTTATTGATTTTTTAGTGATTTTAAAAAAGTAATTAAGCAATTCTACGTAATGTCGGTTGAACAATTGAATCATCAACTGTCTTTGGCTCATGCTCGAATCACTTCTCAGGATCGGCAAATTGCTTCTCAAGATCAGCAAATTGCTTCTCAGGATCAGAAAATTGCTTCTCAGCAAACTCAACTTAACAAATTGACCAGAATGATTGGACTTCCAGCGGTTAGTTATAAAATATATATTTTGTTGATCTTCCCATTAATATCGATTTAAAGCATGATCGTAATTATACCCCGTTTTTCGAATTAAACTTGATTCCTTATAGTGGTGTTCTTTAAGGGGCTGTTAACTGAAAAAATCGTTTTCAGAATAAGATTGGGGGAGAGAGTTAAAAATTGATAACACAAAGACCCCATATTTAGTCATTTTTAGGCCATTATTTTAGAAAATAATCTATTCATATATTAAAATATTTTTTATTTTAGGTGTTCGTTGGTTATGGTGGCCGGTTTGAGCGTAGATCCTGCAGTCTTTATGCTCTGGGATTTACTGGAACAGTGCCTTTCAGTAAAGTGACTTCTCGATCAATTTCAATCAATTATTTTGAGATTACATTCTCGAGTCTTGAGGGGTATTATTTAAATCAATAAATTGTCCATTAGGCTTTTTACTGTTTAGAAAGTCATCATAGGGTCACAGAATTCCTCTAACCCTTGTACTCTATATTTTTGAGCATTATTTTAAGCTGTATCAATTTTATGGGGGAATCAAAATAAATTTTTAAAATAAGAAACAAAATTTCAGTTTTGACCTGTTAGGTCTTTGCAATGACAAAAACTTTATTTTCATTAATTCGCAATGGGAATTAAAGTCTGATCCTGGACGAAAACTCCTTCTGGACGTGGACGAAATTGAAGGTCCGATAACAATTGGTTCTGGAATTGTTTGGCCATCAACGAATAAATTCTACAAGAGTGAAGTTCCGCATATTTTTTTCACGATCAATGGGCAAAAGATTGGTATTTTTAATTTTCTATAAAATGTAATACTCAAAATTTTCAGGGAAATATATTCCTGTTGACTCTTCCTCGGATATGTTCCATCCAAAATATGACTGCCATGGTGATGATGCTGTGGTTAATGTTAGTCTTGCTGAAGGTTTCCGCTATGATGTGGTCAACCAAGACTTTGGAGACGATGTGTACAATGAGGAAGACTGGGACATTTAAGTGAATAAATCTAAGTTTATTTAAATAAAAAAAATTGTTAAATTATTTTGTTAATTTTAAAAATAAAAATTTTTCCCATCCTGGGATTTGATGTTTATTACATGGTGTGATTTACACTTGAATATTTAACTCTTTTGATTCCTTTCCTTTTTTGCGAATTTCACAAGTCGTTTTCTCTCCAATCATTGTTGACCTCATTCGAATTCACTCCTATTCTAAGGATTTGTGAGGTTCATGTAATTCCCTCGATTTTGTTTTTTTAAATATCGAAAAAATTCAAAAGAAATTTATTACAAAATTAAGGCACTAAAAATTAAGTAAAAAATAAATAAAAATAACAGAAAAAATATGAGCTTTAAAGGTGAAACTAGTTTTTCTGCTGAAGACTGACTAGCTGTTGCCAAGTCGAAATTGCAAGTATTCCCCTAAAAATTATTTTTTAATTTAAAATATTCCCCCCCTTTTCCAAACCTTGCAAGCACAATAAATCTCTTCCAATTCATTCTGTACCCATTTGTGTGTACATCCAAGTTGAACAAAAGTAGGCGTTGTTACATTTATACAGCCACGTTTTTCGTGCATTTTTGGGGAATTGAGGGAATTTTGTTGTCCATTATTATTCCCATTTCTATTGGTTGACCAATTGTTGGAGAATATTCTTTGGGCTGCATAAACACAGAAATGGCCTAGGAAAAAAAATTTTTTTTTTGAAAATTTTTGAAAAAATTTCAAAAAAATTTTTGAAAATTTTTCAAGGAAATTTTCCAAAAAAATTTTTTTTTCGAAAAAATTTCAAAAATTTCTGAGAAAATACCTCTACATTTATTTTGTCTACATCCAGAAGTCATTGGAGAAGAAACATCTTCTGCACTCATATCACAATTTATGCATTCATAAAGTAGTGGTAAAGGGGGAAGTTTTTGTGCTGCTACTGACATTTCCCATTGACGTCTTAAAAATTTTAAAGAAAATTTTATTTTTTGAAAATACAGTTGGCTCTCAATTTTTTTCCAAAATTATATACGCTCTGTTTTGGTTGGCCTGTGAAGGCTGTTGGAAGTTGCCTAAGCGATATCTCCCATTTTATGTGAATACACCTCGATTTTACCCACTTTTATCATCACCAATTGTGTGTCCGACTGAATTCAATCTAAAAAAAACCCCCCAAAAATCGAGGTCCGAGACTGTAATCTCTAAAAACCCCCACAAGAATACCTCTAACAATAAAAATCAAAAATAAATTTTCCTCTAAAAATAACCTTTGTTGTTGTTGCTCTCTTTGTTGTTTCTTCTCCCCTCCTCCACCCAAACTTTTTAGCAAAGAGGAAATAAAAGAAGAATCACTTCCAGAATCATCCCCATTTGAATTACACATATTTTTCCCTCCACAAATACAGAAACGTTGAGGGGAAACTTGAAAATTATTTTTAGAAAATTTTTTTAATCCAAAAAAACACCTCCGCCCCCACGGCTAATACTCAAACAAACGTGTTGTTGACGTTGTAAAAGTTCTGTCGTTTTGTACAAGTAGGGAAGCGAAGGAGGGCCAAAACCACAACCAGCTGCGCCTGTTGAAGTTTTTTGATGACACCATTGGCCTATAATGGAAATTTTCAATAAGGGAATCTCTCTATAAGCGACAACATTTGGCCTGAATTTTGCTGACTTAAGAAGGGAAGTAACGTTTTAGGGGGAGTCATGTTAGGTTAAAAACTTTTAAACTGAATTAGGCTAAAACAAGAAAGTCGTTTATAGAGAGGTTCTGGAAAGTCGCTTGTAGAGAGATTATGGAAAATCGCTTATAGAGAGGTTCTGGAAAGTCGTTTATAGGGAGATTCTGGAGAGTCGCTTATAGAGAGATTCTGGAAAGTCGCTTAAAGAACGATTCTGGGAAGTTGCTTATAGAGAGATTCTGTATTTTTATCTACTGTATTTTGATTGTTCCCAAAATCACCCTTGAAGGCTGCTACAATCCCTCAATTATTAATACCTTGACACGTCTGCCCACAATCAGGCCTTCCATCTGGACATTGCCTACAAGTCACGTTTCTCCACGTGGCTGTGTTTACATGCATTAGAATTTGGTCGTTACAAAAATCTGTCGAAATTTTGTTAAAAAAACAGCAAAAAAATTACCAGGCCCAGCACAAACACAAAGGACATGATCAGAAAAATGGTCAAAATCACACCCAGCTCGAGTTCTAGACGGCCTCTTCACACACCCTTTGGAAAGCCTGAAAATTCCTGGGACTTCTGAAGGCTGTTTCTCTGCAAAACAATAATCTGCCTCATAAGACCCCATCCTATAAAAAATTATTTTTTAAATTTTTTTAAAAATATTTACTGGCAGTTGCATGGTGCACCAGCTAAACATTGTCCAGAACAGGAATAACATCGACGCCCCTGTAAAGAAAATCTTTTTTTTATTTTAATTAATCTGCCATTTTTTCCGGAATTTTCTATTTTTCTTAATTCCGTTATGTGTAGCTATTTATATTTCCGGATCAGGGCCGAGCGCAATTGGAAAAAAATGTCCGCAATTTTAATTTTAAAATCCGCAAACGCAATCCGCAAGTCAAAAAACACATAATCCGCAATTGCGCCCAGCCCTTTTCCGGACAGTCTGCTTTCCGGAAATTATTTTCTCGTTCTTATTTAATTTCTATATATTCTCTATGTGTCTGATATCTTTACCGGAATTCTCTTTTCTTTTCCTTTTCTTTTTTAATATTTTCCGGAATTCTTTCCGGATCAACATATTTTTTTTTATTTCTCTTCCTGTATTTGACGTTTCCTCATTTCTTCCGGAATTTTAGTAGTATTTTTCAGACCTGCTCATGGATACGGATTTTGCTATCCGTATCCGGATATATCCGTGAGGTCCATATCCGTATCCGTTTGTATCCGTCCAACTTTTTAGGCATATCCATCCGCGGGTATCCGCGGATATATCCGTTTTTTCTCAAAATGGTCAGCCTGGCTAGAATTTTCAAAATGGTCAAATTTATTTAAATTCGGTTTTTTTCTGCATTTTATACAACATACATATTTAGGTACCTATTTTAAGGTTTTTACGACCTAAAAATCCGATCCCTAATAATAAGGTAATAACTGAATGCATCAAAACTAACCTTGCTTATGAATATCGGAAGTTCGAAAATCGGAAGGCAGAGATAGGAATTCCGACCCAACGTTACTTATCAGGGATTATACCGACAAAAAATAAAATAAAATTTTTGAGAATTTTTGAAAAGTTAAATTCACGGTTTCGGGCCGAAATGAAAATTCGGTTAACTAACCAGTTGATTTTAGCGCCGCAGGCGAAAATTTTGAGAATTTAGGAAGACAGAAGCAAAAAATCTTTCATTTTCAGCGCCGCAGGCAAAATTTTTGAAAATTTTAGAAGCGCGTAGGCCAAAAAATTCACTTTTTTGCCCAATCCCCTCACCAAATATTTTCCTTTTTCCCAATTCGGGAGTGGGTGGGGGAATTCCCCCATAACCCTCTGAAAATTTTCGCTTGCTCAGCTAAAAGAGTTGAGCGTCGTAGATGAAAATTTTTAAGCTGGAAGGCTAGGAAACCAGAGAAATTCTAGCGCCGCAGAATTTTTGAGAGAGAAGAATTTGAGAAGTTAACTGATTTCAAAGCCAGATTTCTTTCTTATTTAGCGCCGCAGGCAAAAATTTTAAAAATTTTGAAAGGCCGAAAGCGAAAAAAATTCACTTCCTTTGCACCGCAGGCTAGAATTTTTAGATGGATATCCGCGGATTTGAAGCATCATATCCGTATCCATCCGTATCCGTCCAATTTTTTTAAAAACACTATCCATATCCATCCGTATCCGCGGATATCCGCGGGTATCCGGATATTATCCGTATCCGTGAGCAGGTCTGGTATTTTTGTATATTTTTCCGGAACATTTTCTGCATTCTATACCCTTTCCGGTATTTTCTCTCTTCTCTAATAAAAATTAACTACCTCCAATAAAGCTGTAGACAACGCAAAAATTAAAAGAAATAAAACAAAAAATTTATTAGAGATCACCAACAATAATTTTGAAAATTTTAAATAAAGGTATTGACAAGTTTGTTTATTCATTTGCAACAAAGTCGGCAATAACTCAGCCTTTGCTGACAATTGCAAAAATTAGGCATTGCCTGCGCAGGGATGAGATGAAAGGAAATTAATTAATTTTATTTTTATGTGAGAAGGAAAGAGGCTTTCTGAAAAATAAATAAAAATAAATTTATTTTTATTCTGAAAATTTAAATTAAAAAAAAATTTTTTTTCTAAACTTTAATAATAAAAAAATATTTATTTTAGTAGCACCTTAATACGCCTATAAAAGGGAAATAATGAAGAAAGGAAGTTTTAATTAGCGGAAAATTTTAATGAATGTTTTTCTTAAAATGGGCTTATCCAAACAATAAAATTGTAAAATGTTATTTAAAACAAAACTTAGTTAAAACTTGATTGTAAAACAAGTTTAATTAATTTGAAAAATGTTTTTAAAACAAGTTTATTTATTAAAAAGTTTTAGTTGTAAAAACAAGTTTATTTAAAACTTAGGAAAATGTCTATGTTTGAAACATGTTTTAAACAAACATGTTTATTCAAACTTGTTTTTCAACATGTTTTACTTATTTAAAACTTAATAGAAAGTTCGCGTGTTTTAACTGAACTTTAATATGAAAATTAAAATAATTATTTAAATATGGAGGAGGACAGCGAACGAGAAAAGAGAATATAAAAACAACATAGGAGAATGCTATTTTTTGGCTCCAAATAAGGTCTTCGAGAACCATTTAAATTATGGAATAAATATACTACAAATGTTTTGACTTCTTCTTCTATAACTTGTCGATTTTCTGGAGAATTATTCAAAAAAAGAAAGGTTTTAAAATATAATTAAAAATTTATTTATTAAATTATATTTTGATATTTTTATCCTCTTATTGTTAGGACTAGAGATTGTTAGGATTAGGACTTTTCAAAAAACCTTGATTTCGGTTGGGTACCTTGACCAGATTCTTGACCTTGAGTCAAGGAAAAATCGAGGAACGCTGAAAAATGTTTTTATCTGGACTCTGGATTCAGGAAAAATCAAGATCTGGATCCAGATCTAGCCCGCTCTCTAGTTAGGCCTAAATTCGAAACCTCAAAAGGAGGGGGAATACGAACCGAAGAATTACCAATAAAATTTTCAAAAAATTTTTAAGACGTCAATGGGAAATGTCAGTAGCAGCACAAAAACTTCCCCCTTTACCACCACTTTATGAATGCATAAATTGTGAAATGAGTGCAGAAGATGTTTCTTCTTCAATGACTTCTGGATGTAGACAAAATAAATGTAAAGGTATTGTAATTTTTTTTTGAAAATTTTTTTGAAATTTTCAAAAAATTTTTTTCAAAAAAATTGTTTCTTAGGCCATTTCTGTGTTTACGCAGCCCAAAGAATATTTTCCAACAATTGGTCAACCAATAGAAATGGAAATAATAATGGACAACAAACTTCCCCTTCCCCAAAAATGCACGAAAAACGTGGTTGTATAAACGTAACAACGCCTACTTTTGTTCAACTTGGATGTACACACAAATGGGTACAGAATGAATTGGAAGAGATTTATTGTGCTTGCAAGGTTTGGGAAAGGGAGGGGGGGGAATGTTTTAAATTTAAAAAAATTAATTTTAAGGGGAATACTTGCAATTTCGACTTGGCAACAGCTAGTCAGTCTTTGGCAGAAAAACAACTAGTATCACCTTTAAAGCTCATATTTTTTTCTGTTATTTTTATTTATTTTTTACTCATTTTTTTAGTGCCTTAATTTCTTAAAATAAATTTCTTTTTTGAATTTTTTCGATATAAAAAAATGAAAATCGGAGGAAGTACGGGTACCTCACAAATCCTTCAAGTGAATTCAAACGAGGTCAACAATGAAATGACTTGGGGATTCACAAAAAATTTAAGGAAAGGAATCAAAAGAGAGTTAAATATTCAAGTGTAAATCACACTACGTAATAAATATCAAATCCCAGGATTGGGAAAAATTTTTATTTTTAAAATTAACAAAATAATTTAACAATTTTTTTTATTTAAATAAACTTCGATTTATTCACTTAAATATTTTTGGCCAGTCTCCCACATTGTACACATCGTCTCCAAAGTCTTGGTTGACCACATCATAACGGAAACCTCGAACAAGACTAACTTTAACCACAGCATCATCATCATGGCAGTCATATTTTAGATGGAACATATCCGAGGGAGAGTCAACAGGAATGTATTTTCCTGAAAATTTTGAGTATTACATTTCATAGAAAATTAAAAATACCAATCTTCTGCCCATTGATCGTGAAAAAAATATGCGGAACTTCATTTTTATAGAATTTGTTCTTTGATGGCCAAACAATTCCAGAACCAATTGTTATTGGACCTTCAATTTCGTCCAAGTCCAGAATGAGTTTTCGTTCAGGATTGAATTGTAATTCCCATTCCGATGTATGGTTGATGAAAATAAAGTTTTTGTCATTGCACAGACCTAACAGGTTAAAACTGAAATTTTGCTTCTTATTTTAAAAATTTATTTCGATTCCCCCATAAAATTGATACAAATAAAAATGGTGCTCAATAATATAGAGTACAAGGATTAGAGAAATTCTGAGACCCCATGATGACTTTCTAAACAGTAAAAAGCCTAATGGACAATTTATTGATTTAAATAATACCCCTCAAGACTCGAGAATGTGATCTCAAAATAGTTGATTGAAATTGATCGAGAAGTCACTTTACTGAAAGGCACTGTTCCAGTATATACCTCATTATAAAGACTGCAGGATCTACGCTCAAATCGGCCACAATAACCAACAAACACCTAAAATAAAAAAATTATTTTCTAAAATAATGGCCTAAAACAACACTAAAAGGAATGGAGTTTAATCCGAAAAACGGGGATTTGTTAAGGATTCATGATATAAAATCAATATTAACGGGACGCTCAGTCAAAATATATATTTTAGAACTAACCGCTGGAAGTCCCATCATTCTAGTCAATTTGTTAAGTTGAGCTTGCTGAGAAGCAATTTGCTGATTTGCCAAAGACAGTTGATGATTCAATTGTTCAACAGACATTACGTAGAATTGCTTAATTACTTTTTTAAAATCCCTAAAAAATCAATAAAAATAAAAAATAATTAATGTAAGACCCAAAACACTCTTTAAATGTATTTTAAGAAAAAAAGCTCGGTTGTTAATAATGACTAGAAAATGAAAGAACTACAGCTTTTATATGAAGAAAAACAAAAATAAATTTGGCGTTATGTTGCAGTGGAATTTTGAATTAAATTATGGGAGGGGATATTTGAGTCTAGCAGGAGTTTTTGTTTCTTTAGAGGTCGGCAAAATCGTGTTTGCGGGATCCCGCATGCGGGATTTTTTTTTTAAATCTTTGCGGGACGGGATCCCGCGGGAAAAACCCCGCAAAATCCCGCATCCCGCAAAATCCCGCAAATCAAAAAAAGTGCGGGATTGCGGGAGCGGGACCCCGCAAAATCCCGCGCGGGATCCCGTCCCGCGCCGACCTCTAGTTTTCTTTAAATAAAAGCTATAATTCTTAAATTATTCGTAATCTCTGGATATTTTTCCTTAACGAGATAGGGTAAGAATGGATTAACCAAGGAAAAGAAAAAAATAAACTTGCCCAACTCCGGGTTTCCCGGAATAAAACTAAAACCCTGATTTTTTACATTCGGACCCGAAGCCAGTTCAAAAAAAAATATACAGAAATAAATAAAAATAATTTTGAATCTTTAAAGATTTGGAGAATATTTTAGACTCAATTGATTTGTTGAGGTTTCGAATTTAGGCCTAACTAGAGAGCGGGCTAGATCTGGATCCAGATCTTGATTTTTCCTGAATCCATAGTCCAGATAAAAACATTTTTCAGCGTTCCTTGATTTTTCCTTGACTCAAGGTCAAGAATCTGGTCAAGGTACCCAACCGAAATCAAGGTTTTTTGAAAAGTCCTAATCCTAACAATCTCTAGTCCTAACAATAAGGGAATAAAAATATCAAAATATAATTTAATAAATAAATTTTTAATTATATTTTAAAACCTTTCTTTTTTTGAATAATTCTCCAGAAAATCGACAAGTTATAGAAGAAGAAGTCAAAACATTTGTAGTATATTTATTCCATAATTTAAACGGTTCTCGAAGAATTTCTGTTATTTCTATATTATGATGCTTTATTAAATCACTTTTTTATAATTGAAAAAAGGTACTTGAGAGGGCGTTTAAAAAATAGTTTTTAGAAAACTTAAAAATTCTTATATTTTTCAATATTTTCCCATCTGACATTCCCTATTTTGGATTCGCACCAAGCCCATCTTTTTGTAAATTTGAGCGAATCCAACTGAAAATCAACTTAAATATGTTTTTTTATTTTTCTTTAAAAAATATAATGACAAAATAGATTTCCGATTTCTTTCCAAAATTTTCTCAAAATGCCCAAAAATGACATTTTATGTGATGTACGTATACCCCTGAAACTTTGGTCGAGGGACAGAGTTTTCATTTATTTCTGGGTTGGGGATAAATGTGAAAAAATTGTTCGGGAATGGGGTCGGGGTACTAAATTTGTTTAAAGACTAGATAACCAAATAAAAAATTAATGGAAGGATACGAAAAAGGAAAAATCATTTAAAAATAAATTCAGACAATTAAAAAAATATCTTATTATTAGCTCAGTCACAATCCGCTAATGAACAAAACAAACTAAGAAATTAGTATTGGCTTTATTCTAAAATAATCACAATTTTTTCTTTGTACCTTTTTTGTATAAAAATTCTATTAAATTCAGCTATTTTCTAACAAAAATTAAAAAATTTCTCTCTCAAGTACCCTTCATCAGTATTTATTGTATTTAATATATCAACAATTAATTCTGTTGGTAGTTTTTGTTGTTTTATTATTATTAGCATTATTATTATATTTTTTTGTATTTTTATTTAAAT